CCTCCGCCTCCCCGCCCCTCCCCCTCCCCGCCTCCTCCCGCCCGCGCGGAAGAAAGGGGGCCGCTTTGACAAGAGCGCATTTATAGACCCGTTGGCACGCGTTAAAATCACGCCATAAAACTCCAAGAGTCACCTTCGGGAGGGCCAGGTCATAAACCCAGACGCGGCCTTACAAAACTCGGAGGGAGGAAAGTCCCACCTACTCGGCAGCCACCCACCGCCTCACGCCGGAGCCCGGGGGCGGGGAGTGCCCGCACTCGGGTGTGGGGGCGGTGTCGACACCCCCTAACCCCCCAACGTGCTGAGAGCCTTGGGTAGGGGTGTGTGAGCCCCTCCTGGACCTGGCCTCGCCCCACATCTCGGAGTTGGGGGTGTCTGGCCCAGCTCGCGCAGTTGGGAATGCCCAGAGCACATGGAGGCCACGGCCTCCAGCCCCAAAGGCGGAGCCCTGCTCGGGACCAGGCGGTGGGTGGCGGGTGGCAGGGATGGTAGGGAGCTCTGGCTGGGGAGCGCAGCGCCCACTTGCCCCCTACCTCTCTTCAGCGCAGGACTGGGCAAGGCCGTGGGGGCCCCACGTGGGCGATGGGGGTGCGTGCGCTGGTGGAGCAGGGGTGTTGGGCACAGCAGAGGCCGTGGCTGGTCAGCCTGGGCCTGCATGATGTAAATAGTCACCTGGGAGAAAAATGGGGGGCGGGGTGGGGGTGGCAGCTTTGTGCTTTCAGTTACGGTGCCCCAGGAGGGAAGGGCGTCTAGGTCCGCCTGTGTGGGGTGGTGGTGACCTGCACACTTGGGGGCTCGCCCCCCACCTCTGTTGCCTGCGCCCCTCCCAGCTCCCTTCTCCAGGGTAGGGCGCGCCCCTCAGGAACAGTTGTCTTGACGTGGGGTCAGCCATCAGGCCCTCATGAAATTAGGTGTAGGAGCCTGCAGCCTTGGCTGTGCCCCTTGTGGATTCAGGGCGTCCCTGGAAGACCGTGCAGGGGGGGCCCTGGCGAAAGTCCCGACCCAGAGTTTGGGATGCATCACAGGTCAAATAGAGGACCTGGGGTGCCAGCTGGGGACACTCCAGTGGTTCGGAGGACCTGAGCGTGGGCACCACCCGAGGGTGGGCGCGGGGCGCGTTGGCATTTCCCCGCTCTGGCTTTGTCCAAGGGGCCAGTACCCATTTCCCGGCACGGTGTCCAGAGGACAGTGGGTGGAGGTCCCTGGAGTCGGGGAGCGGGCGACGGCTTCCCGCGAGAGGAGACAGCCTTGGAGTCCATCCGGGTGGGACAGCCCCGGCCGTGCGGGGCCCTAACCGCGCCGCTCTGTCCGCGCAGGTCCAGGCTCAGCTGCAGCTGGAAGGCGTGGCGCACGCGCACCCGCACCTGCACCCGCACCTGGCGGCGCACGCGCCCTACCTGATGTTCCCGCCGCCGCCCTTCGGGCTGCCCATCGCGTCGCTGGCGGAGTCCGCGTCGGCCGCCGCGGTGGTGGCCGCGGCCGCCAAGAGCAACAGTAAAAACTCCAGCATCGCCGACCTGCGGCTGAAGG